GCCCCGGCCGCGGCCGTTGGGGGCCCGGCGGCCGTTGGGGGCCCGGCGGAAGCCCCCGGCTGGCGGTTGCTCTCCCCCTGCCTCCCAGCAAACGGGGAGTTAGCTTTATCTTCCCAGTGTGAGCGCTCGGGAGGCTCTGTGCCCTGCGCACCCCGGCCCCCTCGTGTTGTAGTAAAGCGCGCGGGTATTCGGTAGGATCATAGGTCCATTCTGGTTGGAAAAGATCTTCAGGATCGTCAAGTCCAGCCCCAAACCCATCCCCACCATTGCTGCTGAGCGGTGTCCCTGAGTGCCTCATCCACGTGTTCCTTGGGCACCGCGAGGGATAACAGCTCCGCCACTTCTCTGGGCAGCCTGTTCCAGTGCTTGTGCTGAAGTGTGTTAATCCTTTCAGAATGTTCCTTGACTTGCTTCCTTTCCTGCTTGGCCTTGGTATTTGCCAGCTGGGAAAAGAACAAATGTGCTTAACTGGTGGGGTCAGTAGGAATTCTGGGGAATCGGTAGGGCTAAAGCCTTGTCCCGTGTTGACTTCATTTGGCCTTTGAATGCTTGCCTTTGGCTGGAACGTAATGCTGAACTTCACTTTGTACCAGAGTTAAGGGGAGAAAAAATGCCCGTGTGCGTGGCTGTGTGCTCAGGGCGCTTGTGCTGGTGACAGCTCTTGCATCATGCGCACGTAGGTGTCACGCTACCGTATAGTGCCATCTGCAGCACACGTCCCCCTTCGGACTTCAGTGATCCAGCCGTGCTGCGTTAGGTGTGGAAGAAGTAGCTGTCCTAGTGCCCCCATGGGACCGACGAGGCCTGTTTTGGGCTGAACCCGAACGCTTAGTTCGTGTAATTCATCAATATTTAGTGCATAAACTAAAATATAATGAGTAAAACGTCAGGGAAACAGAAGATGAGCTTATTCGTTATACCCTTAAACCTAACCTTAACTGCATAAAATTGTATTTAATCACCCTGTGCAGAACTTGTATGTATGGCAGTATAGACAATATATGATTCTATACCAATTAATGTGTGATTAGTATGTAATGTGATGTTACATGTATCTGCAAAGAATTTATATGCTGTCCCACACGGAGAATTCTTCTGCCATTGAGAACCTCTGCCTGAATCAGCCCCCACACAGGGACTCAGAGCAGGAAATTAGCTGTGAGCGGCCTCAAGAGTAGTACAGAAGAACGTGACACTGGATTTCATTGTTGGTCTAGTATGAATAGACTGGAAAAAAAAAGTTATTTTAGAGCTGTTGGTTTTATATTCACTGATGAATGTATCTGTAAATCTTCTGATATGACAGGTACTAGGAGCGACTTATAGTTAGATGTTCATTGAAACTTTACATTTGTGATAAACGTTGTTTTACTGCTGTCCTTTAATGCCTTATAATCAATTTCAGTTGTAGGGTTTTGTTCCCTCATATCCCTTCTCACATCTTTAGAGCAGTAGAAGGCATGTCTACAGTTAATTTAGTTAGCTTGGTTGAATTTTGCTTTGTAGAATTAATAATTTTAAAGAAGATGCACCAAGTAATCCTAAAGCATTTAGATACAATTCTACATTTCTCTCTCTATAAAAAATATATATAATAGTGAATAATTTGTAAAATCTTCTTCCTGCAGGATGTTTCCAAGCTGACGCCTCTCTCACCAGAAGTCATCAGCAGACAAGCCACAATTAATATAGGTAAAAAAATAAATTTCTAAAAAAAAAGGGGGAACATTAATGTGACTCTGGTGC